TAACACCTCGATCTTAGTCACATGGGATTCTGTTTGTACGTTTGTTGTCCCACGAAATTGAGTATCTTTTAATTATTACTTGTTTTTCTTAGTAGGTGCTGCTGTTATATCGGTTACATGTTTAAAGGTGCGGAGGGGAATACAATGAAAACTCTTTCTCTCCCAGTCCTCAGGCACTCAGTTCACCAGACAACCAGTGTTGTTGATTTTTTAGATATTCTTCCGAAGTCATTGTAAGTGCTATTATTAATTTTAAATTACTCAAGTAAGATAATGTCCTTGCCAAAAAAAAAAAAAAATCAAGCATTACAAATCAGGCCAACATCCTTTTCAGGCACTAATTACAAACCTAGTTCCTAGATGAATTTACATATGTAGATGTTATTTTTTCACACTCAACATTGAGATCTTTTGTATCTATGTTGCTTTGCCTCCCACTGATTTGTCACCTCTTTTCCCGTGGGTGATGGAGCCACCAAAGATTACTCAAAGCCCATCTCTTCTGAGCAGTGAGTAGCTCCAGAAAGGGGTTAATCTCCCAGGACCCTCAAGCCTGAGGCATCCTTCCATTTGGGAAATTAACCACAAATTGGAGTTCTCTTCCTGCATTTATTTTGCAGAGGAAGATGTTACAGGAAGAGACATAGGAGGGGTTTTGCTAAGTACAGTTTAACAAGTTTAACAATAGAAGCTGGTAACCTTCAGTAAGTCAAGCAAGGTTACCTTCTGTAATGCAATTTGCAACAAAGGCTTGATTTTAGCAAACATTCTCTTTTTACCACAATTTACTAGGATCTTTACATATCAATCAGTAACTTGTTTGTCTTTGAGCCAGCAGCCTTGCTATGTTACAATTCATCTTGCAACAGAGACTCAATAACCTGGGGAAAATTTCCTGTCCTTTGCAAGGTCAACATTTGAAACTGCAAGGCTTTGGAAAAACAGGCCCTGTGAAGTACATTTGCTTTATGAATTCTCTACATATCTATATATCGTTAAGATCTTTCCATACTCTATATAAATTTATCTCATTCTTTTAAAATGCTGCATGGTGGTCCTCAGGACCAGTATATAGCATTTAATTTATCATTGCTCTGCTCTTGGACATGTAACTTGTTTCTTTTTTATTGTTGCTGTTAGAAACAATGCGATTTTAAACACATGTGTAAGTGCCTTTTTGTACTTGTGTCCAAGTATTCTGTGGGGTAGAGATACCAACAAGTGAATATACTGTATCATAGGGTATGTACATGTTAAATCCTAGTAGTAGATTCTGCAATTCGCTCCCCTAAGTAGCTGTAACAACTTCCATCCCCACCACTAGTATTTGAGCAATTCTTTCTCTTCATCCTTGCCAAATTTGAAGAAATACAATTTTTGAAATTTTTCTAAATTGATGGATGTGAAAAATGTTTAAAGGATAACATAAACAAAAGTAGTACAATAATCATAGGTGCATATCTTGGTGACAAAGTGAACAAACTTTTGTAAACATCTCTCATACCAAAGTTAAATGTTTACCAGCCATGTAGGAGCTTTCCTCATTCTCTGTCTTAGTCATTACACCTCTACACACAAGTGGGCACTATTCTGAATACAACCACTGATATTAGTTTTGCCTTCTTTCCATCATTTATAAATGAACACACATAGTAGTAGGTATTCTTGTATGGCTCTTTTTGCTTAATATTATGTTTATAAGATTGATACATATTAAGGAATGTAGTAGTACTTTACTATCATGTTTGCATATAATTCCAAAATTTCGTT